CCTCAGCGCCGCCCGCCCTCCCCGACCCAGACAGCAGAGAGCCGGGACCCAGCGGAGCCGGTGGGTGGCCTGGGGGTGCAGACAGCATCCAGCCCCCAGCACAGCAGATCTCTGAGTAAGAGGGAAGGCTGGCTGCCGACGGAAGCAAGCTCGGCTGGGGCTGGGGGTACATTCCATTCACATGCTCTGCGCACCCACAAATATTCACCTGCCCAAGAATATTCACCTTGTCATCTGAGGAATGCAAACAGGAAGGGCCTCTGATAAGGCCAGAGGAGTATTTACAGCTTCCTCATCAGCCTTAATAGTACCCTGGTCAGAGCAAGAGTGGCTAGCTGCTCCTTCCATGGGGAAACTGAGGAACGGGGTGGGAGCCAGAGAGGTCTCTGCGAAAGAGCCCCCAGGGGCACGATTTCTGACCCAGAAATGCTGGGCATGGCCTGAAGGAGGGAAAGGACCGGACAGCCTGAGCTGGCCCCACGGACTTCGAGGCCAGCCAGGTTCACCCCACCTGAGAGGCTCTAACCTCGTCCTGCCCCCAGCCGGGGGGATGGGCACTGCTTCCTTGCCCACGTAAGCCCTGGGCAGCAGCATCCCTGCGCTCTGACCTCAGGAAGCCATTCCAAGGATGAATGCAGAAGCAAGCATGGAAATCCTTTGGGCTCTTCAGGGAAAAGGCACTACTGGCCTGTGAAGAATCCTTCCTATGCTCGGAGGTGGGCTGGGCGCAGCCTGAGCCTCCTGGGGCGGTCCTTTCCCTGTCACTCTGGGCAGACCTGCACAGGGCTGGGCCAGGCCTGAGTGACTGATAAACTTGGGAGGGGAGAGAGAGGATCCCAGACCAAAGCCTCAGCTGAGGGGAGATGTCAATTCACTTCCACCTAACAACTCTGCAGGATCAGCAGGCGAACACACACGTTCATTACCAAGTCTAATTAGGCTGGCAGAAAAGTGGCATTAATCATTTTTGACTGTACCTGGGATTCAAGCCCCCTTCCCTCCATAATCACAAAATTTCATGCTCTGATGAAGTGGGGGGACAATTAAGCCCACATTTAATGCTTTTACTTTCATCTCTCCAGAAGACAGGAAGCAGGGAGGAGAGGAAACAAGATACAGCTTGGGGACCTCAGGAGGCCTCCCTCAAAGCATTCCAGATCTGTTCTCTGTCCCCAAATACACACACACACACACACACACACACACACTCATTCCACTAGGACTCTTCCTAGAAGAAAACCCCAATTAGAGCCCAGGGCAGGGGAAACTCGAGACGGGTTCCACTCTCTTTAAAAGCTCAGTGTCCTTTTCCCTAACCTCCCCAGCCAAACAGGGGCCCAAGTCTGTGAAAAGACTTCAAGCCACACACTTCAAAGCTGCTGGGCATACTAGACAAATAAAATACTTTCCAGGTGCCCAAGAGTTCTCTGGTCTGCTGTAGGGTAACTCAGTGTCAATGTCCAGTAACCTCTTCCACAAAGAAATCATGGCAAGAGGGGACTCCCCAGGATCCTGTGGCTGTCGCGTGGGCGGTTCCAGTCTTCATAGAGAGGTGGGCTGAGCCCAGCCATCAATGAAGTGACAAGGCAGAGCTGGGAGGGCTGGCCAGGGGGGCCCTGTGGGACATCAGTCTCACCCCAGGAAGTCCCCTGTCCCTGAGGTTCATGGAGAACACCTCCTCTTCACATCATAATTACACATCTATCAAGTAGGGGGTAGGATAAGGAGCCCCAGGGTTCCCCTTTCAACCCTATAATTCCAATCCCATAACACCTCAGAGTCCTGAACGAGGGACGACGGCTCCGGAGAAGCCCGTGGGCATTCACTGCATCGTGCAAGGTGTGTCCCAGCATCCCTCCTTGCCTGTGGAGTTGGACTTTGGTTTCCCCATTTTCCAGACTTTCTCTGGTCCGGGATGGCTTGCATACCCACAAAAAGAGTTGAACAGTAAAAGGTCAACTCTGTGCCTTCTATAGAAGAAAGGGTCCAAAACCTCTAACAGGTGTTTACTGATCGCAAAGCCAAAGGGCAGCGGGTAACTCTGCAGGGTGTTTGCTGCCGGCCCTGCATCCCCGGAGTGCTGGAAGTGGGCCCTCACCACTGGTATTGCCCCCATCCCAAAACACACATGCCCCCACAGAATCTCTCTCTCTCTGTCTCTCAGTATCTCTCTCTCTCTTCCAGTCCCCACTGGAGTTCTTCTCTTATCTACTAAACACGATTTTTTAATCCTGGAAATTAACATTAACTCTGAACCTCCTGACAGGCAAATCCAGCCTTACCCAGAGTCAGTTACAGACCTGGACATAGGGGTTAGGCTAGGTTGGAAGGTCTTTCACTGCAGAGGCAGGCAGGCAGTGGGAAGACAGCTTTCTAAAATTTTCCTTATTAAAACTCCATATTGCTAACATAGCTCCCACCCATTGTCATCCTCCTGCCCAGACAGAGGTCCTTCCTGTACCACTGCCCTTCTGCTTGTTTCCAAGAGCAGAGAGATTTAGGAGGAAAAACCAGCCACCGCCTTCACCAAATGCTTCTTACTGACGCTGCTCTGTGCCTGGCACTTTGCTGGGGGCAAGTGATACAAAGACAAGGCGCCAATGTCCCAGTGCTCTCGAAGCCACTGGCATTCAGCAGGGACACTCCTCAGCCACAGGAAGCAGAAGTGTTTCTGGAGGACAATTCAAACCCACACATTCTGCGATGCTCACGGCACTCACTTCCCTTCTTAGTTCAGCCACGCAGGGTTCGAGAACTGTACTCGCTGCTTGGAAAAGTGACCTCAGAGGTGTCACGAGCTCAGACAAATTGTGACAGCTGTTGGATGGGAGGGGATAACACTAACATTCATATTGCATTAAACGTTCATAATGCCTTTTGCCAGGCACTCTGTTAAACACTTTACATATATTAATTCACTTAATTCTCACATTAACACAATGGAGTAGGTAACGTTTTTATCCCCACTTTTTTATAACAAGGAAGCAGAGCACAGAAAGGCCCAGAATGACACAGAGATTAAGTGGCAGAGTAAGGATTCGAACTCAGGTCTTCTGGTTTCAGTCTGTTCTCTTAATCGCTGTCTGCTGCTGCCTTTTTAAAGTCATATTTCTGAACCTTGCTTTTTGAAAGAAAGATAAAACACACCAAGCCCACCACAGAATGAGATCTTCAACTTAAAGAAAGATGCTCGGTGATTGTGGCCAGCTGTGTCTCCGCCTGCCCGCGGCTCATCTGCACCTCTGAAAGTGTCTCAACTGTTCCCATCCAGCCACGGGTCCACAAGCAGTTAAATATTAATAATGACAAACACTGGCTCTGCTCCCTCTCTGGTATTCAGATATCCCTGCTTGATGGAGTCCCCAAATGCCTTACTACAGACTAGAATTCCAGTGAACTGGATTTGCCAGGGTTCCAGCACAACTAAATCCATGTCATCGAGAATAACGCCTCCGTCTGTGTTTAGAGAATCAGTGGATACAGTAAAGGAGCCTCGACCCTTGAGAGGGTGACCGTTGCCAAGACATCCACGGGCAAGTTTCATGTGATTCTACCATAAGGTCAGGAGCCTTTATGGAGTGACAGCAGTCCTCCACCCACAACACACGCCTCTCTAAAGTTTGCTCTTTCCTTTTGTCTTAGCACGTAAACGGGGAGTTCTGGTGGTGGAAGGAGCACCACCTCCTTTCCCCTCCAATCTTTCCCTTCCACTTGACACTGGCTTAGAATGTGAACTTTCCTTCCCTGAAGCTAGGAGGCACCCTGCCCAGCCTCTGCTGTGAACTAGGGGGAGGCGGGCAAGGTAGGGTTTTCCTGATAGGGAAGTGGCTGCTGCAGACAGATGGGAGCCCCTGGCCTTTGGGCAAAGGGGAAGGGCCTTTGCTGACAGATACAACCCACACACCATTTCCAGAGACGCTTGTTAGGGGCTCTGCCCTCCTCTGTGCTTTGTACTTCAGATATTTAAACTATCTCTATAAACACATAAACACATGGATGTGGATATCCTCCACCAAATATGGCAACCACAAATATGGGGGTGGGGAGAAGGCACCCCTTAAAGAAATACACACACCTGAAAATAACCCCAACCTCCAAGAAGACTGCAAATTTGCTCAGTAGGTCTACACCCTGGGTGTCTAGGGGTCCACAGTCCAGCTTTGAAAAGAGACTGACTGCAAAGGAGGCTGGAGGGGCCTGAGAGCTCCGGGGAGGAAAGTACTGGACAGGAAGTTGGGGAATTTTAAAGCCTGAGGACTGGTGCAGTAACCCAGGAGGAGGAGGAGGAGGAGGAGATTGAGGGGGAAGAGGAGGAGGAGGGGAGACAGGGCATTGCCAAATATTTAGAGCAGAGTCCAAAGGTTTGAGGGCCAGAGGTGAAAGGCAAAGGGGGGCGGGGCACAGGTCCAGGGCGACCTCAAGCTCACGTCAACCTTACAGTCCATTTCCATTCAAAGCCTAACCAGGTCTCTTTCTTGTCCCATCAGTGTGCCCTAAAGGAGAGGCGTACCACAGGGGTCATGTGCCAAGGGCCTGTACCACCGGTGACAAACAAGCCATATTCCCATTAACGCTAATAAGCAGGGGTCAAATGGCCGTATCAATACCAGTCTCATGACTGGTGTGAGACAACGGAATGACCTTGCCGCCGTGGTCATCATCCCCAGCCTGAGTGTGTGTGTGTGTGTGTGTGTGTGTGTGTGTGTGTGCGCGCGCGCGCGCGCGCGCACACGCGCGCGTGTGCGTGTGTGTGGCGGGGCGAGGTATGCACTAGTCAGGGAAAGGGGTATTTGTTAAATACAGCACCATCGTACCTGGGCGGTAGGCGGTCACTAAAGCATACCCGCCAGGCGGCTAAGAGCAGAGTCTCCCGGGCCTGTCTCCCTTGGCTGAAGTGGAGACGGGCAATGCCCGTCCCCCGCGCCAGCCCCGCGGCAGCTCCTGAGCTCGGACTGCGGGCTTCCCGCGCGCCCCTCCCCTGCCCTGCCCCTCACACTCACTAGCGCAGCGCAGCGCCTGCCGCAGCACCTCTCGTCCGCACAGGTCGCACCAGCCCCGGCCGCTCCTCAGCGCCAGGTCGGCGAAGCTGTGACCCTCGCCTCGCTCCACCGGGACGCGGGGATCCTGCGGCTGCTCGAAGATGCTCCGCACGTCGCGGGGCCGGGGCGCCCCAGGCCGCCGCCGCAGTCTCTGCTGCAGACCAGGCCGGAGAGGGCGAGCGGGTCGCGAGGCCCGCGGTTGGGGCTCCGGGTCCCCCCGGGCCGCCCTCCGGGCGCCGCGCCCCTCGTGCGCCCCGGGCGCGGTGGAGAGGGGCGCGGGGGCGCAGCGGCGCGAGGAGCGGCCGGGGGGCGGCGGCGGCTCCGGGCCGCTCAGGCTCTGCAGATAGCGCGGCGGTTCCGGGTCCAGGAGCAGCCGGTAGGGACGCTGCCCGATGGCCGGGGACGCCATGGCCATGCCGGCCGAGCGCGGCGGCTCGCAGCGGTGGCGCGGCTCCCGAGTCAGCCTCGAGAGAAGGACGGCCCCGCACGAGCGCGCCTTTAAAGGGACCGCAGCCTGCGGGGCGGGGCGAGGCGGGGCGGGGGCGGGGAGACCGGCGCGCGGCAGGAAGGCGCCCGGGGGAACTACCGATCTGCCAAGCGGCGGGGAGCCGGGGCGAGCGCGGGTTTCGCGGTGTCTGCGGGAAGCAGACCCGACGACTGGGGCAGCTGAAGAGGAGTTGCTGTCGGGACCGTCAGCCTTCAGCCCTGCCTCCTTCCCTCTCCCACCACTTCCAACACTAGGTCCCCGCCTCCACCGCACCCCCGCACCCCAACACGCCCAGGTGTGGGAGCGGGCGGCAGGGAAGGGCTTGGTAACTAGCTGGGGATGGGTCTATGGAGAGGTCCCCGGGCCAGGTGTCCGCGCGCCCCCCTCCCGCTTCTCCCGCCCACGGGAGGGTGTGCGCCCTGGCGCCCCTTCGCCGCCGCCTCCAGGCCGGCGGGCCGCGCGTGGGTCCGGCAGGTCCAGCAGGCCCGGCCGGCGCTCCGGCTCCCGCAGCAGCGCCGAGTCGCGTGACTCCGAGGGACGCGCGACGGGGGACGCTTCCGAGGCTGACCGCGGGAAGCCGCCTCCGCGGCGGGCTAGGCTGTCAGCCTGCGACTTTCACTCTAGCTGGATTTCCCCTCCCTGGGCGGCCCTGCCTGGTAGGGTATTCCTTTCCCGGAAAACGGGGGTTGCGTGATCCTGGGCCCTGGATCGTGAGAGCGCTCCCGCGCCCCATGGCTTGGGAGAGCTTGCCTTCCCGAGTCAAACCCGCCTCTTCCCACAGCTGCTCCAGGAACCACTGTGGAAACGCCAGCCCCGAAAGCCCCACGCTGCCTTAGGGACGGACAGCTCACTTGTGGGACGCAGAGACGGATTCCGTTCTGCTAGCGCCAGAGCCGGCTTCATAACTTCCATTTGAATGCTCTGATTTCACCATCTTGAAAGTCTTAATAATTTTTTTGAATAATAATTCAAAAATTAATAACATTTCAATAATTTCCAGCATTTTTTCTTTACACTGGGTCCCCCAAATTACGCAGCCTGACCTGATCGTCTCACGTGGGCGGGGAACAGGACTGCTGGGTCTTTAAACAGGCCAGCTGCATGATCCGGGGCCCTCTCCGGCCTCTACAGTTGTTTGTTTGTTTGTTTGTTTGTTTGTTTTTGTTTGGGCTTTGTTGTTGTTGTGTTTTGGGTTTTTGTGGGGGGTTTTTTGCCTGTAAATTAGTCTGGGGCTGGGAAGACAAGTAAATGTTTTTGCGATCCGCCACTCTGACGCGGTGATCACGGGCTATCCTCTTACAACTTGGGGTTCAGTTTGGTTGATTTAACAGAGGTCGCCAGCCACCAACTTTGGAAACAAGCTAAATTCCTCTAGACCTGAGACGCATCCTCTTCTTCCCAGGCCAGGGATGGGACTCCCCCTAGTGTCTGGTAGGGGAATCTCCACTTTTGCTTTTTCTTTCACCTTGGAGATGATTTTTAGGTAATTCCTGAAATTTCAAGAGTCAAGTGGTCAGGGAATTCCCAGACCGCTTGGGTCCATGGCTTTTCCTCCGTGGTGGCGGCAGTCAGAGAGTCGTCCTCATTTGTAGTGGAGGACATGTGCTGGGTCCCCAGGTCTCACCAGAGGCTGGAGCTTCCTACCTGAGGAGGTGATTTCCGGGCACAAGGGAAAAGAGCCAACCTCACAGTGTTCCAGAGCAGAAGGAACTGAGATGAGGGAGGGTACACGATGAACCACCCCTTTTACTCCCCTCCCCCACCTTTCTGCTCCTCCCTCTGAACCTTGCTTTCCCTCTCATCAGTGGTTTCCAACTTTGGCGTGCAATCCGCTGGAGGGCTTGTTAAATCCCAGATTACTGGCTCCACCGCGGGAGTTTCTGAGTCAGTAGGAGTTTAGGGCTGAGGTTTGAGATGTTGCATTTTTAACAAATTTCCAAGTGGTGTTGCTGCTGCTACCTTGTGCCCAAGGAGTCCACCACTCTAGATCTAAGGTGGTGATAAGGTGGGCTTCACCATTTTCCCGCCATGGGGCAGGTAAGCTTCAGTGGACACTCTGAGAAAAACTCATTAGGAGGGGAATTTGCTATCTCTGAATGCCTTCTGCTGAATGTTCATGCAGGAAAGTACAGTTTGCCTTTTTGGTCTCTTATTCCCACCTCTTCCACTTTTTTTCTGCAAACAGCTTTCTCAGGGCTATTGCAGAAACCTGCCATGCATATAAAGATCTGCTTGTACCCACCCCTCTGTTATCCATCCATCACCACAGGCTTAAGGCTCATTGGAGGAGATCACTGCCTCCCAGGAGGCAGGGAGCTGGGTGGGGTCCAGGGTGTGGACCCAGCCTGAGCTCTGGGTGACAGCTTGGTGTGGCAAGAAGAAAAGACCTGGCAATGAGCACATCACTGAAAGGCCAGTTCTGAAATGCCATTTGTGAAATAATTACCAACAATTGCCATCTCTGTCCTCTGTCCCCCTCCTTGCCCCCCTAAGCATGAGTTTGGGCAGCCCAGCCCAGATCCCCCAGATAGAGAGTCTCATGGGATGAGTGTCTCCTTGAGCCCTGGGAAACTGAGGACCATCTAGAACAACCAGATGTAAACCCCTTCCCAGTTGCCTGAGCTGCACAGAAAAATTGACTTTCCCTTCCTGCTATAGCTCTGATACACAGGAATGGGGGTGGCTGCTCTCAACCAGGAATGGTGGAGGAGATTGTGCCCAGCCAAAGCCCTACACTTGGCTTCTGGGATGGGAACGGAGATGAAGAGGGAGATAACGTTAAGTTCATGTAACCAACCCAAAAAGTTTATCAAGTTTATCTTAAGGTTCATCTGCCTGAGCCAAGAAATTGAGGTCGGGAGAGGTAGTTGCCACCCCTGATCCCCAACAGGAGGCTCCTTGTGTCCTTTGATACCATCTTTCCCAGCCCAGTCCCCTTCTTCCCTGAAGGAGCAGCCCCTTCCACAACACACACACACACACACACACACACACACTCTCTCTCTCTCTCTCTCTCTCTCTCTCACACAAGTCAGTCCTCCTTCCCCAGAGAAGAAGTACTAAATAAACTCCAGTCTCACTGGAGGGTCAGGACGATGCCTGGCATCGTGGAGAGTTCATGCTTGAGGTTCAGAATTGTTGGGATGCTCTTTGGTCAGGCAGGCCACCAGGGAAAGACCACAACGTCTGCCCAGACACCTCCACTGGCAGATTTTCCCATGTTCGCAGATCCTCTTGGCTCATAGCCATCGACTTTTTTTTCTGTGTGTGACTCACTCCCAGAGGAGTAGGTGTGCTGTTTTTATTTTGGACCAAGGGGAAGGATTATGACAGTCATTTGAGTGTGTGGTCGGTGTGTGAGGTCACTTCAGAGGTGGTCCAGAGCGTGCTGGTTCCTCCATGGGGGGAGGGGGCTGGCGAGCTGTGTCAGGGCTGCCCCCACCTCCAACCACCACCGCTGAGCTTCCCAGTAGGAAGGAAAGGGGAAGGACAGAACGCATCCTGACTTTCTGAAGGGGAAGTTTTTGGTTTTGTTTGGCTTTGAGGCATCTGAAGCCGCTGAAATCCCCAAAGCATGTAGGGGACCTCCCAGTGATTCTGAGAGACCAGCTGTTTGCATGGGCTCGCAGGGCCAGTCAGGACAGGTTAGGTTACGCTGCGGTAATAAACAGCCTGCAAACCTCACTGCCTTTAAACCAGAAACTTCTTTCTCACTATGACTTGCCCTCTGCCAGCTGGCAGGGAGGCTCTTCCCCAAAGCCACGCAGGGCCCCGTGCTGATGGAGCGGCCACCACATCTCACATTGCCAGCCATGGGGCTGGAGGGAAACCAAGAGACCCCAGAGGCTCCTATGCATCGAGCCAGCCCCACAAGGGGAGCAAGAAGCGCAATGCCGTCATGTGCTCAGAATGGGGAAAGAGCTGAAGTATCTGGCAAACAGCACCGAAGGCAAAGCTTCAGGGGCACAGAGCAGTTCTTCATTTAAACAAGTAGCTAAGTGAGCGGGCGCTGCTGTCGGTGCTAAAGGTCCAGGAGCGAAATGGACATGTTCCTGAAGCTTCCATTTAGTGGGAGAGCCAGATTACAACCATGCAGACATAATGTTGGTAATGTCGGGTCCTGAGTACTTTATAGTGCATCTCTGACCTCACTTTATAGATGGAGTTTAAAGAATCAGCAAAATACTTCCCCATTTTTCTTTCCCTGTTGAAATCCTGTTCAACATTCGAGGTCCAACCCAAATGCCATGGAGCTTTGCCAGAGTTGCCCAGACCCGACCCCTCACTCTTTCTCCTGGGTCCCTCCAAGTCGCTTGTGTCTCTAACCCTCACATCATCCTGATGTGAGTCACAATTACATTGTACATTTTGCCTTCCCCACTTGGGTCTTGCTGGCCTCTCTGATCACACAGTCCAGGGAAAGTAAGAGGTGCTCCTCAGTGTTGAATAAAATGAGTTCAGCTGTCAGCTCCCACCTGTACCTGATCCCAAATTCATCTCTTAACACGCTTTAGGCCATGGCCCCGCAGGGTGAGGAGACCAGGAATTGCCTGACCCGCTGAGAACGGAAGGCACCCAGTGACCTGCTGGGGCTGGGTGACAGTGGTGGTGTCGGGAACTCTAAGACTCACGTGCAGCCTCCCAAGTTGATGGTCACTGGGGTGGATTTCTTGCCTCCTGGGCCACAGGTGAAGGTTGGTAGGACCCCATCCCCACTTCAGGTGTTGGGTTTTCTCTTGGTCACCGAGTGCCCGTGTTCCCACGGGTAACAGCTAGGTAGGTCCTTGACAGTACTTAGGACAAGAGGACAAACGAGGGTGGGAATTCAGCAGGGATGTGGGGGCTCCTGGAAGGGTGTCCCCATGCCAGGTGGGGGTGGGGGGGCTTGTTGGCCAGGATTCAGTGGTGCCTCCCCCGTCCACCTCTCAATTACAGAATTTTTCCATCCCAAGTCACTCCGCCAGA